AAACTGCTGAATGAAGGTGGAAAAAATCACCCAACCATTTTCACTGGGTCCACTACAGTTTTATGTTACATAATCTCAACTGGGTCCTCATCATTGCTAGGCAATCCTAATACCTTCTTCATCAACTCACTGTCTCACCACACAGATGCACTTCCAAATCGTTTCAGACCTCCTCAAACCACCCATAGCTCCTTCTCCTTCCCTCCCCCCAATTCTTTTCAGGTGAGAACCTTACCTCCTATTTTACAGAAAAAAATGAAGCCAAGTTCCCTTTTCTCCCCTCTTCATCATCTTCTATATAATACCTTTTGCCACTATTGCCTCCTTCATTCATGTCTTACGTGATGAGGTGGCCTTACCAAGGCTAACCCCTCTATCTTGTCAAGCCATCCCATTTCATCCTATCTCCTCCAATAGATTTCACCCGTCATTCCTACCCCATCATATATTTTCAATCTCTCCCTGTCTATACTGCCTACAAACATGTCAATGTCTCCCTCATCTTCAAAAAACCTTCACTTGATCCTAACATCCCTAGTAACTATTGCCCTACATCTCTTCTGCCCTTTGTAGCTAAACTCTTCATGTTTGCAATAGGTGCCTTCCACTTTCCTCTTACTCTCTTCTTAACCCCTTGTAATCTGGCTTCTGAACTCATTCCACCAAACTGCTCTGTCCAAAGTTATCAATGATCTCTTAGTTGCCAAGGTCAGCGGTCTTTTCTCAATTCTAATTCTTCTTGACCTTGCTGCAGCCCTTGACACTGTTGATCACTCTTTTTCTTGATATTCTCTTCTCTCTAGATTTTCAGGACACCATTCTCTCCTGGTTTTCCTCCTACCCATGTGACTACTCCTTCACTGTCTCCTTTGCTGGATCTTCTTCTAGAAAGGCCTTTGACTATAAGTGTCCTTCAGAATTCTGTACTAGGCCTCCTTCTTTTCCCCCTCTATACAATTTCACATGGCACTTTCATCAGGTCCCATGGATTTAATCACCATTTCTATACTTAAGATTCTCATCTCTACCTATTCTTCCCCAATCTCTCTGTTGGCCTCCAATTTCGCATTTCTAACTGCCTTCCAGATATCCCAAAATGAACGTCTAGTAGGTAGCTTAAACTCAATATGTCCAAAACAAAACTTACTATCTTTTTTCTGCTAAGCTCCCCCCCTACTCCTAGCTTCCCTAATTCTGTAGAAGGCAACAACATCCTCCTGTCCCTCAAACTTACAACCTAGATTCATCCTGGATTCCTCACTGTCACTCCCATATCCAAGCTATTGCTAAGGCCTGTTGATTTCACCTTTGCAACAATTTATCTCATATACTCCCCCTTCTCTCCTCTGACACTGCCCACCACTATAGTTACAGGCCCTCATCACCTTACTCCTGTATTGTTGTAATAGCCTGCTGGTGGATCAGCCTGTCTCACTTCTCTCCCCTCTTCAATCCATCCTTGATTCAGTCACCAAAGTGATATTCCTAAAGCACAGGTCTGGTCATGTCATGCCCTACTCAATAAACTCCAGTGGTTTCTTATTGCCTCCAGGAGCAAATACAAAATGCTGTTTGGCATTCAAAGCCCTTCATAACCTAGAGCCTGCCTACCTTTCCAGTCTTTATATACTGAACTTCTCATACACTCTTCAATCCAATGACACTGACTGCTTGGCTCTTCCACAAACAAGACATTCTATCCCTGAGCTCTGGGAATTTTTGCTGGTTATCCCTCAAGCCTGGAAAGCTCTTTCTGACTACAGACCTCTCTGGCTTCCTGTGAGTCCCAACTAAAATTCCACCTTCTACAAGAAGCTTTCCCCAATTCCTCTTCAGTCCAGTGCCTTCCCTCTCTTAATTATTTCCTATTTATCTTGTATATAGCTTCCTTTGTATATATTTGTTTGCATGTTGTCTCCCCCATTAGACTGTAAACTCCTTGAGAGCAAGCACTGTCTTTTGCTTTGTTTTGTATCCTTAGTGCCAGGCATATACAGTAGGGCTTAATAAATGTTGATTGTTTGATATTGCTTGAATCAAGGGAGTTGCATTTAATCACACAAAAGTGTCAGAAACAGTATTCAAACACAGGTCTGGCCTGACTGCAAATATTGTTATCTTTCCTCCAACCTTTACCTCTTTCCATTTCACCCTTCTACTTTCTCAATTAAATTTATGAAATGGCCATTTTTTTCTTAAATATGATTATACGCTAATGTTTCCTTACCCAAGACTGCACTGAAATTGTTCTATATTCAGTCTTTGGTAATTCAGATTAATTTTTAAAGAAGAAATTCTTGATATAATTTGAAAAAGTTTCTAAGAACTGTTTTGTTGTATCCTCCATTTCCCAGAGTAGACTGGAACATATCCCATGGAGTTAGAAATGTACTTTGGTCCCTTGCTAAACTAGCAACTCTTACACCACCATGACTAGAAACCCAAGAGAGAGTGATGGCCTAAAGTGGAGAGGTTGACAAATATTTTGTATTGTATTATTTTCCATTTGCTCTTTATATATAGCCTAGATCTTCTTTGCTACATACTCAATAATCTTTAACTGGTTAATTTTTAGTTTTCAACATTAACTTCCATAAGCTTTTGAGTTTTAAATTTTCTCCCCCTCCTTCCCCACTTCCCTCCCCAAGATGGCATGCAATCTGATATAGGCTCTACATATACATGCCTATTAAACATATTTTCACATTAGTCATGTTGTAAAGAATTAGAACCAATAGGAGGAACCACAAGAAAGAAGAAACAAAACAGAAAAAAAAACCCAGCAAATAGTATGTTTCGATCTGCATTCAAACTCCACGGTTATTTCTCTGCATGTGGATAACATTATCCATCATGAGACTTTTGGAGATGTCTTAGATCCTTGCATTGCTGAGAAGAGCTAAGGCTATCAAAATTAGTCATCAAACAACGTGGCTGTTACTGTGTACAATGTTCTGGTTCTGATCACTGCACTCAGCATCAGTCCATACAAGTCTTTCCAGGTTTTTCTGAAGTCCACTTGCTCATCATTTCTTATAGGACAATAGTATTCCATTACATTCATATACCACAACTTGTTCAGCCATCCCCCAATTGATGGACAGCCCCTCAATTTCCAATTCTTTGCCACTACAAAAAGAGCTGCTAGAAATATTTTTGTCCATGTAGGTCACACATACAACAATCTTTTACGAAGCCCCAGGAACTAATATAGAGTTGCTGGGTGGGTGGTGTCCTTTATCAGGGGCTAAAGTACTCTTGAATTCACACTCCTCCACACCTTTGTTATTGTTATTGTTAAGTGAACTGAAATCAGGATTACATTTTCAGCATTAGTTCTTGTCCTGACTTTGTTTCCCAGGTGCCCATTTTCTCCAAGATTTTTCAAGTCTTTTCTGGAAATAAATAGGATCTAGATGAAGTCAAGTCATATTAATAGAAAGCAATAGAAGGCAATTATTCAGCATCTTTTGTACCCTGTTTTACTGGTAACAAATTTAAAGAGTTTGTATTTAGCTTGCTAGATTGTATTGAATGGTTTCTTCTCCTTAATACCACAAGAGGGAGTGGTAGTAAATGAACAGAGAAAACAACAGAACTCTCCCTCCCCACCTCTTCATTGGAAAAGAGGCAGATTCAATGTAATGAGAACCACAAAACCAGGTGCTTCATTTGTAATGATGATTCAGGCCAAATAGAGCTCTAAAGTGTTAAAAGTAAATGATTAGCTGTAGAAAACTGTAGAATATAAGTGGACCAAATGGGTGTTTGTCTGCTTAATTATAAAAGTCTCTGGCTGGTTACTAATTGACTTATAGCAAATTATTTTTGCTGCACAAATTTGTTTTTAAAGTAAAATACTTTAGTTTGACCTATGCCAATTTGAAATATTACTAAAAAGACAGTTTAAACATTTATCGAGCACCCATAGAATCTAATGTTAACTGTAATTTTGCCTCTGCTGTGATTTGAGTCTTAATTTATCTGGTGCTGACTGTACCTTTGGAAAGAAAGAGTTGGTAAATAGCATAAAGATATTGTCTGTCACAAAAGATAATTACCAGTTGCTTAAGTACCTGTTGACAGCAACCAGTTATAAACTGGTCCTGCAAGCTTTCTCCTTCACATTTCAAGTTGAATGAGCTTTAGTGAAGTCACACTGAGATCATAATGAGTCTTACCTTATTCACTAGTCTAAGTCTTTTTTACCCTCCATGGTATATGGCACCCCTCTTTTATTGAAACAGGGCATCAATATAAATTTCCCCTCGGGAGTGTTGCTCTGTAATCTGTATGTGTCAAAGCGTGTACGACTGCCGGCATAGTGTTATCGGTCTACCCATGGGGGAGAAGGGAAGGAATTCCATCAGAATGAAAACTATTCAAAGGGTACAGAAACACAAAGTAAGAGCCAAAGGAGAAAGGCTACCGGGACCAAAACACATTACCACGGATAATATTACATTTTCAAGGTGCTGGCTGTGCATATCCACAATATTGCACACACTAAAGTTTGGTGACTAAACATTGGACACACACTTGCCCCGATTATCCGAGGGCCTAGTGAAGATGGATTGCAAATTGGATCCCCAAGTCTGACGGAAAGCCTTCCAACCTATATTATGGGGGGGGGGAGGCTTAGAATTGATCTGTCCTTCTCTGCATGGCACCCTCAAGGCCGCCCCTCAAAACAGAGAGCTTCCTAGACTTCATACAGAGAAACAAAAGGCCACACAAAGAGAGGCGGCCCACAGAAGCAAACATCAAGAGCGGAGGACGCAGAGCCGCATTCCCTGCCCCACGACGCCTCCCGGCCCGCTCCCACACCCAAAACACACACATGCGCAGAGCGGGCAGAGCACTCACTCCCAGCTCGGGACCCAGCCGGGTGCCCGCCTGACCCCTTCCTAGTCTCCCCTCTCCACCCTAGGAGCTGCGCGGGACTTAGGACCCGCCCCCTTCGCTAACAGAAGGCAGACGATTGGCCGACGGGAGCCAGGAGCGCAACCGGCGTAGGGAGAGGATTGGCTGTCTACCGGTGACGCCCTTGGGACCTCCCAGTCCGAGTCCGAAGCCGGTGGAGGAGGCACTGGCTGTTGCGGCGGGTCTGGTGAGCCGGAGGACTGGGGGGCTGGGGGTCCCGGAGAGGAGGGAGGGACCCAGGAGGGCCGTTTGCCCTGGTGGGAGGGGGCGGCTTCTGGATTTTGGCACTTCCGGGCGGGGGCGAGGCAGGAGCGGCGAGAGGGGAGGCCGGGGCAGCGGAGCCGCAGTTATCGACTCGCTGGGCCCCGGGGACTGGAGGAGAGGAACGAGTGGGGCGGACGGGAGAACGCGGGCTCGCCCACAACGACACGTCGCCCGTGGGTGGCCCGCACGCGCCCCCTCGCGCGCTCCCTGGCGCCCCGCGGAAGGGGTGGGCCCCCGCGGCCGGGCTTCATCCCCGGCCGCCTCCAGAGCCCGAAGGAGCAGCTCCCCGCCCGCGCCGAGAAAGTAGCGTCCGCCTCCCACGTTGTAAAGAAATGTGGGTGTCGTTGCAGTTGAGGGGTCCGAGGATCAGTAAGCAGCTGTTCCGCGGCTGCGGCTGCTGCTGCGTGCCTCGGAGGGGACTCGGCGCTGTTTCCTAACAAGCCCCGCGAGTGTGGGGTAATGGAGGTGATCCGCGGAGGAGAGCGCCATGTGTGGGATTAAGGAGAAGGTCTGACTTTATCCGGCACTGGAAGGAAGCCAGGAGGAGGAAGATGGGTTTTTTTGATGGTTCTGTATGTAGCCTTTTGCAAACTTATCTATGATTCTTGTGTAGTTGATATTGCTTAGCTTTTCAATGGATGGGGGAAGGGCAGGAAGAGGGACAGAATTTGGAACTCACAAATCTTATTTTAAAAATAAATTTTTTAAAGAGTGTAAAATGTCTAACTTAAAGAATACCTGTGATTTCATTGGTATGGGCACTAAATCAGCAGCTAGGTGACAAATGAGAGTAAAGCTGAGTCTGGAGTTGGGAGCAGGGGGAGAATGGAAGGGAAGAGAGCAAAGCATTTGGCACTGTGCTAAGAGCTACAAATATCTCGTTTGATCCTGTCGACAACCCTTTGAGGTATTTGGTTGTGATCTCCCATTTTGCTGCTGGGGAAACTTAGGCAGAGAGGTTCAGTGACACAGAATTAGTGTCTGAGGCTGAATTTGAACTCAGATCTTCCAGACACCAAGCCTCTTAGCCCTAGCTGCTTCTGAGTCTAGCTTCTTCAGTTGTAAAATGGGTATAATAAATAGCCCCTATTTGGTAGGATTGTTTGTGAGGACCAAGTGAGATGGTGTTTGTAAAATGTCTGGCACATAGTAAGCACTTATTAAATGCTTTTCCTCTCTCCCCCATCAAGGCAAGATGTCCTCTATACCCTATTATCTTTTTTTGTGTCTTGGACCCTTTTTCAGAATAATATTCTTAAATGCATAAAACACATGGGATTACAAATTAAACCATTTATATTGAAATGCAGTTATCACAAAAAAAACCGTTTTAAACAAGTTCATAGTTAAGAACCCTGGCATTAGTAGATAGAGTCTAGAACTGAGCAGGAAGAAACCCTCAGGGGTTCCAGCTAGTTTATCCTGACATATTATATAAGAGATAAGATAACAGGGTAGACAGGTATCGAAATACATAGCACAGTAACTCCAAATCATTTCCACGGTACAATACTTGTTTTTGTGAGTTTCCATAACAGAAAATAAATTTATCCTGATGGCTATCCCTCTGGAAACTAGGCAGCACTTAGCTAGGCTGACCCTCACAAGAAGTACCGAGAATCCAATACTGAGCCTCTTCAAAGATCTTTTCCATGTTGATGGGGTGGAACCCAGAGTCCTTACCTCATCACCCTGACACATTAGAGTTAGATTTTAGTGAAGGATAATTCACACTTTTGAGACTTATTTCATATTATCCCTTTTATACTCCACTTCTCAGCAAACTGACCCACTTTCTATTCTTGGAATTTGATATTCTATCTCTAATCCCAGCCGGACTACATGATCTCGCTGGCAGGCAGAAATAGCAAATGTCATTCTTCCATATGGTGAAGAAAGACCATTGTACTTATAATTAGGTCTGAATTTGAGTCAGACGAGTATATATCACTTACAAGTTATGTAACCTTGAATTTCCTTATCTCTAAAATGGAAGCAGTGCTTTTTTCTTGCTTCATAAACCTCTTGTGAGGAAATTGTTTTATAAACTCTCTAGCACTATTATTAACATACTGTTAATCTGAAGTTCAGACCACGCTATAATGAAACAACAATACTTGATTTAAGTAAAACAGAGAAGAGGTCCTGTTAAGGGCTTGAGCCCCAGTGAAAAAGAATCATGGAAGTAAAAATCAACTTAATTTTATTAGGGGGTTATGCATATTCTGTGTTTTGAAAACCACATAAAAATGGTTTAAACTCACATAACTTTTAAATAAAGACCCAAGCAGTTTAATAACTATGGCAAACATTTTAAAGTATACTTCATTTCTTTATTGTGGCTAGTTGAGGAGAAAAAAGGAAAGAATGCTGCTCTTTGAAGCAGGGTACCTGGTTCTAGCCTAGGCTGCCCGGCAACTAGCTGTGTGACATTGGACCAAGCCACTTAAACTCTCAGTTTTAGTTTTCTCATAGGTAAGATGGAAATATATTCCCTGTTTACATTGTAGAGTTTTGAAGGTGGAATGAGACAGTGTATTCAAAAACACTTTATAAAATGAAATGTTATTCGAATATCACATATTATTAAAGGGGTTAGGGAGCGCAAAGACCTTGTTCTGGGGACAATAAGAACAACATTTCAGATTAAGAAAGTTTGTATTAGAAAGTAGTAGTGTGATTAAGCTGGGAAATAGAATGGAATTTTATTGTCAACGGACATGTTTGCCAGGCCAAGTTTGGACTTTATAAGTAATTGGGGGCTTTGTTTATTGATTGACTGACTAAATCTTTTGGATGAGAAGTGTGCCTCACGTTGAAAAAAAAATATCGTTCTTATTATTGCCACATGTTCACTTGGTGAGGGGTGAGCTTCAGAGTGGTATCACCTCTTTCCGTTGCCCTTTGAAATTTTTGCAGTTGGGGTATAATGCAAGGCTTTTAAACTTTTATTTTTTAAACTCTTAAGCTTTCTGAGTTTATAGCTATAGCTACCCACCTCAGAAAATTTTTCTCTGAGCTACTGTGGAATGAGCAGAACAGTATCCTAGGTAGAACACCCCTTGCCTCATGTTCAGAATCTCCTGATCCAGAGATCTTTCCAAAATAAATTCAGGCTTAAAACTAAGATAATTTGCTGAAGTTGTTGATAAGGTTAATTAGTCTTTATATAGTAGTCACTTCCAAAATCTATGTTATATCTGAGGTCATAGAATTTAGAAATCGAATGGGACTTTAATCTTTCTAGTCCAGCCCCCACCCAGTGGAACTCTGTTTGTCATCTGAAATCACGTAGCAACTTAATGGCCAAAATAAAACTGGAACCCAAGTCCCCTGGCTCTCAATTATTTTAAAGTTCTTTTTTTAGTCAACGTACACATGATTGAAAATCAATTCCATGGGTTTACTACAAAAACTTTATATTTCTGTAATATATTTTAAACGTGTGTTTTTTAAAAATAACACAAAATTAAGCAACTAGTTATGCAGTACACATTTTAATTTTTTTGTAAAGATCCATTATTGCCAGGGGGGAAAAAACTTTTACATTCAGTAAGTGGAGGGGGTGGTATAACGCAGCATCTTAAAATCTGCTTTGTAGTTGACTATCATTTCCTTAGTGACATGAGCATTACACACACACACCACTAATATTTTAGTACTTAACTATTTTAACTAGGCATTTGAAATACTTGTTTTGTAATCTTTGCCAGTAATTCCTATTAGTTTGAAATTTTAATGGACCTTACATAAAAGAAAAAAATGTCCTGAAAAGAAATCCCTAAGATTTTAGTTACTAAAATTAATTTAATCTTAACATCTGGAAGTGGAAGAATCCCTAGGTTGTGTATTAATGTAGTGTTTGTATATAGTGTAATAACTGAGAATGACTGACCCCTGAAGGAAATCATGGAAAGCAACATTCTCCGTAAAATAATTTATTTTCTCAGGCCCATAGCCTATGTGTTCTCTCTCCTCAAGTTTTCTTTAAGCCTTCTAACCAGTTTTGGTTTGTGGAAAGATGTTAGCACAGGTGGAGGACTGGTTTTTGCAAGGGTATAGAGGGGATTAGACTCAATTGGTTCTCTCTTTAAGCTCTTTCTTAAATTTGTGGTTCTGTGATTTTAAATTATAAGCCAATTAATGTTCACCCAGAGTTTGACTCCTGATGAGTGAATGAATCAATCATAAGGTGCCATAATACTGTATAAAAGATTGCACTTATTTCTTTAGTCTTGCAATTTACTGTCCCTGAAATATGCTGGGCAGTACAATTACTGTGGCTTAAGACTGTGACTTTGTAAAGAGAGTGCTAGATTGAAAAATTAGTTAACTTGTATTTTTTTCCATCCATAAAATGGAGTATATAACTAACCTATCATAGATGTCCTGAAGAAAAATCAAATAACCCCTTCTTGGTGTAGGCCCTGAGGATCCTTACCATGTACTGAAATTATATTATTAAAAGTTTTTGCTGTTTTATCATTTCAATTACAATTCATTTCCTTGAGCTCCTAAGGAAAAAAAAACTCACAAATACCCAAATGTTTTCTCTAATAGTACAGATCAAAATTCATTCTTATATTCAGGTCCATCTTGTACAACTCTATCCTCTGTCCTCCCATAAGTGCTCCACAAAGGGTCTGCCCCACCTGTTGGAGCCCTTCCTCATTGTCTGCAGACATCTTGGGAACACCAGTAGAGCGCTTAGGTTATCCACCACACTCCTGAAACTTGACCAGCCCATCTTTTTCTATCATACATTTTCAAAACGGCATTTTAAAATTCCATTCTTCAAAATTCATATGTTGTAGCTTGCTCACATCCATTATAAATTGATTTAAATATTTGTTAAGCACTTACTATGTACCAAGCAGAATGGGTTTTTTGAATGAGGAGATAGAAAATATATTTATATTCTCA